ACGCACGCACACACACACACACACACACACACACACACACACACACACTCGCACACACACACACACACACACTCGCACACACACTCGCACACTCACGCACAGAGGCACACAAGCACGAAATCCCTCAACGCTACAGCCCCCGTGCGAATCAGGCCCCGTTTCATATCCGCTGTGCCAAAGAATGTGCGGCAGTGGCGGAGGATCATTCGTTGGTGCCAATGTTGGCAACCCATGGGTCGACCCTCTCAACTAGTCTCAGACATTCAACATGAAGTGCAATGGGTGTATTAGAACGGTGTGAGCGGGTGCTTCACGGGACATGGCCGCCGCCCAGAATGAGGGCGATCAGCTGTATTCGCATGTTGAGCTAATTGAATCGGTCCTGCCTTCCTTTCCACAAAAGGAATTGTGCGATGTTTCTGATGTGTCTCAATGCTTTCAGAATGTATTGACGCTTGAAGTACACGAATTGTGTTGCTAGTGTCAAAATTTATGCCTCCTTCGCGAAGGATCTGGACAGTTTCACCCTCGAGTCGGTTCAGTGCCAGCAAGACTTCGACAAGAAATTCATTCACTCTGCGATTTCTCAGTGGTACGGCAGTCCAGAAGCTTTTGCAGACTATGTGCGGGGTCCACTGCGGCAAGAGCTTCTTTCATCGACCGAAGCTGGGTTACCGGCTGCCTACTCCTTCCTGATCGTCACTCCTATTTTGAGTCTGGGTGTGGATACGATGGCTGGGCTGATCAAAGCGCAGCCGCCGTGGCAGCCCCTGCTGTCCCAGTTCTTCGGGTACCTGCTTGGCATAATGCTCTGCTGGGGCATGGTGTCTCACTGACAACCCGGAAAAACGTTCGGTAGAGGGTAGAAGATATTTCTGGGACTCTATAATCATCTTTTTGCTTGGGCGATGCCGGCATTATCGGAGCTAGGCACAGGTTGTAGACTTTTCTGCCTGTTCCAGATGGCCCCAGAAGTCTCCTTGCCGGATCAAGGTGCTGGTTCAGGCGGGCATTTTCTTGTGCGACCGCTTTGCTGGCCGTTCACGATCATGGTTGATGGACGCTTGGATCTTTAAGAAGAAGAATTCAGAACGCCTTTTCGAAGATTGGGCGCTAGGGCACGATGACCAGGACGTTCCTTGCATGTGGGAGAGCTCGGCCTAGAATGGTCTAGATCGATTTGCAGAAGTTGTGGTGGATGTGTGACGATGGGTAGGGACGAAGGTAACCCTGCGAAACCGCTCTGTGTTTAAACCCGGTGGTGTCCTTCTCAGTGAGTATGGACTTGTGGACACGTTGATGCGGCTGCTGTGCTCAGGACTGCGGCCAATCACTGCTAGTTTTTCTTGGCTTCGTCCTTACTGCTTTTGCTGGTGTTCAAGGGGCAGTGTATGCCACCAACGGCAGCCTCGGGGCTTCTCTGGTGTGGTTTGCGTCGGTGCTCGTGCTGCTTTGGCTTACTCACGGTGGCTGGGCGCAAGTTGCGAAGCTGAAGCCAAAGGCCAGCTTCGACATCAAGGATCGACCTGACAAGACGGGTGCTGCAACGGTTGACGCCGTGTGAATCCGCAGAGGCAGACTTTAAGAGCCTGCAAGCTTGATCAGGGTCTTGTCAGTTAAAAGAACACGACCCCAGAG